CTGGGGGCAGTGAGATAAGGTGATCAGCTCTCTGAGAAGGGGAAGTATTATGTCAAGGTAGAGAGTGAGCCAGACGTGTAAGCCACTGGGAGAAAATGACTTCAGGCAGGGGGTCAGCCAGTGCCACAGCCCTAAGGGGGAAAGCTTGCGTGTTCTATGAACAGAAAATGTAGTTACAGTCAGTGAAGTAGGGGGAAGAGCGCGGTGAGTCAAGGTTGGAGAGGTTGACAGGAGCCAGGTCATCATGCAGTGCCTTGTAAGTTTGGTAAAGAATTCGGATTTTCTGCTCTAAGAATAGGAAGCCATTGGGTGATGTTAATCAGTAGAATAAGATGAGCAAAGCTGTGTTCTGAAAGACCACTTCGATGCCATGTGGAGAATGCATTGCAAATGACTCAGGATAGCTGGGACAGGGGAGATAGAGACAAGTGAATGTATTAAAAATAGCTTTTGGAAGTAAGAGTAATAGGAATTTTTGATGATTGAAAGAGGAAAGAATGAATGAAGAATGACTGCTTGGTTTTGGGTTAAGCCATTAGGCGATGGTACCCATAACTAGAATATGAGTGACAGAAAGAAGTAGGTCTGAGAGGCAAAAGCGAGAGCTGTTTTTTGGGACATGCTACAGTTGAAGTTTGTTTTCGCTATCCAAGTGGAGAGGGCAGTTGGATGTATGCCTTTGGTGCTGGTGAGAGCGATCTAGTCTGGGATACTGATCTGGGAATCACTAGCTTATGGGTGTGTGACCGGTTTGCTGGGTGAACGAGTTTGCTTTCCCCAATCCCTGCATTTCAGCTCTTTGTTGTATCTCCTTTTCTCATTCCTTTATGACAATTGGGTAGGCTCCATAATTTACTTGCCACTTGCAGTGTTTTGAAGGCTGCTCAGTCCATTTTAAAACTTGCACTTTATTCCAGTTTAATAAAATTTCATTTTTCCCCTCCTCCGGTACTGACCCTCCAAAGAAGAAATAATCAGCTCTCGTCTTAAAACTGTCCTTTCAAGGGACTTGGAAATCGCAAGGGACATTTACTTTTTTACCACTTCTTCTCTGATATCTTTGAGAAGAGAGGACTAGCTGGCCTGTTCCCTTAATTTTCCAAGTCTCCAAACTTTTCCTCTAGTGTTGGGGCTGGGAGAGGGAACGGGAGAGAAGAGCATGCCGTTCTTCTTACCTTCTTAGTAAGCCCCGAGTGAGGTGTCTGTCCTCAAACACTGGACATTCCTTAGTGTGCCATGTACACAGGTGGCTTCGTTTTCTTACGTTTTCATTTTGAGCCTTAGTTGCCAATTCGGTGCAACAGTTAAAGTCCCACTCAACATCCAGTGGCTGTTCTCACTTAAAGCCACAGGATTGGCTGAGCTGTCCCCTGAGGTGATGCCGGGAGGTTGTTGATAGACTTACAGCTGGCCCTTCGGGCAGCGACGGGGACAGAAGTTCCATGCAGCGGGTTGTGGAGTGAATGAGAGGTGACAGCTTAGGGGTGAAGTCCTGTGATGAAGGCGGCAGAGGACGGGGAGGAGCGCTAGAGGGAGCTGTAGGGTGAAGCTAGTGCTTTTGTTTGGTATTTTGAAGTTAGAAGTCCCGCGGCATAGTTTTAGGCTGATCATTGAAAAGGGGTGATAGTGCAGCTCGTGTGGTGATCATGACGGAGCGGAGTCGGTGGGGAGGTGGGAGAAGAGGGATCCAGAGCAGAAGAGGAGAGGTTAGCCTTGGGGAGGAGCAGGGTTCTGCCTGCGCTGCCATAGGAGGGAAGGCCGAGAAGACGGCCCGGGCTGGTGCTCTGGGAGCTTTGACGCTGAGAAGACGCGGGGTATCTCCCCAGATGGCTTCTGCGTTCCTCGGTGATGGAGGGGAGTGGGCCAGGCGCTGATAGCAGGGTGGGTGGGGAGGGAGAGCAGGAAGCACGTTTTTGCGACAGCACATACGATCTTTACCACAGAAGCCCGTTCATTAGATTCACCTAAGACGCCCACCAATGTGCCAGAACTATTTGCCACGTACTTTTGGAGTAAAATAATTTTAATGATCACAAACAGAAATTATCCTTATCTTTAAATCTTATCTTAAATACGTATTTTAGCTGTTCATGAAATTACATATTTTTTAAAGCTCCAACCTGAAATTGCCAGTCTTTTGAGTAATTATGTAGAGAACAAAATGGGCTTATGGTTCATGCAGAAAGCTATACGCATGCCTTTGCTGGTTTGGCTCAGCGGATAGAGAGTTGGCCTGTGATGGAAGGGTCCTGGGTTTGATTCCGGTCAAGGGCACATGCCTGGGTTGTGGGCTCGATCCCCAGTAGGGGGCGTGCAGGAGGCAGCTGATCAGTGATTCTCTCTCATCGTTGATGTTTCTCTCTCTCTCTCTCTCTTCCTCTCTGAAATCAATAAAAATATATTTTTCAAAATGCTACACTTATTCTTTAGGGTATTTTAGTGAAAAGAAGCAACTGTATTTCATTCTGATTAAAGAACTGATTGCACCCTGGAGGGCTTATTTTCCAAGAGGGGATGCTGAGGGGGTAGAACTCCTTTCTTTGTGGAGGCCTCCCTCTGTGCCCTGATCTGCTGATTCCTAACCCAGTGCCCCGCATCAAGGGGCTTCTTAGTACATGCGGTGGAGTGGCTGTCTGGGGTCAGCCCTGATTCCTGGAGCTGAAGACACACTTTGGATTACCTCGGGAGAACTGCTACAACAGCCCTGACTTATTCTCTCTCTTTTCTCTTTCCCCCCAGCTCTTCTATCCCTAACCTTTGCTTGCTTGCAAGGGGAATGTGAGCCAAAAATGTAAAGTTTGGAAAGTAGAAAGAAAGGAAATAAGTAAATAGGGAAGGAGAATAAATACTGAACAAGACTGGGCAAAGTGACAAGAAGGGATTAAAATTTGGAAGGGGGCCAGGGTGCAAAATGCAGCGGCTGTGTAGTTTACAGGAACTACTTAGTGTTCCGCATGCTTCAGTGATCGCCAGAGAAAGCCAGATTTCTCCGGTTTTGTTCGCTTCCCTATAGTTAGCTACGGAAGCTTGACATAGGTGATCTCTGTGTCCTGCCAGCCAAACCATGTAAATACAGAAGCCCCTGGGCCTCTGCTTGTCAAATCCGACGTGATTTGAATTGCTAGGAGGAGGACCTCTTGTGGCTACAGTGGGAAATACTTCAGGTTTTATAAAGGAATTGAACAGCAGCTCCGCAGAGCTCTTTAAAACTGTATTTCAGATGTTTATAATATTTAGTTGTTTTGATAACATCAAGTACCATATTGCATCTGCATGGCATCGCTTGGGAGTTCAGTGTCATTTGAAGCACTTCAGATTGTATTCATTTCATTCACACATCCCCTGAACAGCAGATAGAACAGGGGTTTTTCATCTCCATTTTGCAGATGGGAAGGAGAGGTACAGAGCAGGTAAGTAACTTGTTTGTGACTTTATAGTGGTGGCAGGCTGGCGCATAACAGCACTTGGATATCCTGGGCTCAATTCAACAGTCTGGGTTTGGAAAACAGTCATTATTAAAGCTCTAAAACAAAAACTTCTATTTTGCAAGTGTCAAGTGAATTCTTTATTCCAGAAAAGATGGATTGAGAGACATAAAACTTACCCTTTGTTTTCGCTGTGAAAAGAGGCTATTCCTAGATTCTCCAAGGGGGGGGGGGGGGGGGGGGTGGGGAGGAGAAGCTGCTTTAAAAAAATCTGGGAGGACAGTGTGTGAGCTGAGAATCTTTAGGTGAGATGGAATGCCAGCTGCACACATTGTGAAGGAACCTACATAAAACAACAGCAGCTTTGCTAGTTTCCCTAAAAATCATAGAAAGCGAAACCCCTTTCACACCTGATTCTCTAACGGTCCCCAGGCCCCCCGTGCCTCTTGGCTTCCTAATATTTGTTCTAAGGCTGCCCGTGGAGCTAATAAACAAACGCCTTCTTTTTATTTAGAATTCAGCCTGTGAAGAACAGAAATGCCCAAACTCGAACAAGTCGTTCTATTTTAGGAGCCGTTGCCACCTCTTGTTTTAGAAGCTGTTGCAAGAGAGTCACAGAAGTGGGCCCGTCTAAGGAATTGCAGTACAAGTTCGAGTGGGGAGGCAAAGAACTGATGAAACGATAAAGCAGGAGGAGGGATATACCAGGCTGCTCCAGTGAATGTTAAGGTATTCAGAGAGAGGATATATTTTTTTAAAAAATGTGGTGGTGTGGTGGGGAGGGGAGAGGAAATATGAAAAAAAAAAATAGCCATAGAAGAAAGAAATTTTGTTGGAGAAAACGGTGTTTTTGTTTTGTTTCGGTAGTTTTTTTTTAAAAAAATATATTTTTATTGATTTTTTTACAGAGAGGAAGGGAGAGGGATAGAGAGTTAGAAACATCGATCAGCTGCCTCCTGCACACTCCCCACTGGGGATGTGCCCAAAACCAAGGTACATGCCCTTGACCGGAATCGAATCTGGGACCCTTGAGTCCACAGGCTGACAGTCTATCCACTGAGCCAAACCAGCCAGGGCTGTTTCGGTAGCTTTAATACTGGAGGTTTTTGGTAAATTTTCACTTTACATACACTACTGATAATTATGTGGTTCTACATAGGTTCTGGAAGCAGAGAGTGTAGTGACTGGTGCAAGGGTAAGGCAGGTAAGATTTCAGAGGAAACACACACCACATGTGACACAGCATCACGGTCCTGAAGACCCTGAATTTTACAGGGTCGATCTTTCGACAGTAAGTTTCCTGGACTCCTATCATCTCTGCTTTACCACTTTTCACTCTCATTAATTAGATGGCAAGGGCCCTTATTTTGGAAACGGGCTAGAGAAATGCAAATCTAACTTATTCAAAGCTCCCTGACAGCCACGTTTGCAGATCTCTAGGCAAAGTATGCGTCTGGCCTTTTTCAACGAAGTATTTTCAGTAACAAGTTGTCAGTGAGGTCAGTGACTAGTGGTTCAGGATTAGATACCACCCACCCGGCTTGTAACCTCCCCTTTCTTTCTTATCCTGGGTGAATGCCGCTCAGCTAAAGTGACTGCCCCACTGCCACTGGCTCTCCACTTGTTGCTTTGCAACTCGGTGACTGACCAAGACGTCTTTTTGTTTCCCCCATCAAAGCTCTTTTTGGATAATTTCCTAGAAGAGCCCAATTTTAAACACATCTACTTTATAGGAAGCGACAGAAAGGTAAGTGTCTAGTTTGCAAGGAGAAGAGCTGGACCTCAGTGCGTTCTTGGTTCTGCGTTGGATTGCTCTGCGTTAGTTAAAATGCGGGATTTCCTTCTGAATGAAAGGACGTCACATTCGTCTCGAAAACGGGGATGTTGTGAGTCGTTCTGGTGAGAAATGTAGGCTTTCACGCTAATTTTAAAGTTATAAATAACTTCCAAACCAGTGCCAGGGGAAGCTGGCAGCCAATGTCGTGCTTTGCATTCAGAGAGTTTCTGGCTATAAAAAGCCCGTTGCGATACCTCGCAGGAGAAGATAAGATGTGGCCTGGATGCTTCTGCTTTGCCGTGGAGCTGGGGCAAAAGAAAGTGTGTGAAGGGGTTTTACTTTTAACCAAAAAAGCTTGTTCACAGCAAATGGGAGCTTTTCCAGATGACAGAGTGGCAAAAGCATTAGTGCTTGAATTTAACGTTTGCATTATATCTTTGTGTTATAATAGGCAGTAGTATCAGGAGGCTAAGGCATCTCGCAGAACTGTTCTACCACCATGTATAACCAAGTGAAAATCACAGTATATGAGGCGAACGTGGGCTGTGGTATACCATCAGTAATGCGAAGAGCGGTCACAGTGGGATCTGCGGGACTGTGAGCCGCTGCTCACGGTTGCCCTGAGGCCAGAACTGGAAGGAATGAGTTCAGATGGAAATCAGGAGGAATTTAGGTTAGGCCTCAGGAAGCTAGATGACTGTAGAGCAGCGGTTCTCAACCTGTGAGTTGCGACCCCTTTGGGGGGGTCGAACGACCCTTTCACAGGGGTCACCTAAATACATCCTGCATATCAGACATTTATATTACGATTCATAACAGTAGCAAAATTACAGTTATGAAGTAGCAATGAAAATAACTTTATGGTTGGGGGTCACCACAACATGAGGAACTGTATTAAAGGGTTGCAGCATTAGGAAGGTTGAGGACCACTGCTGTAGAGGTTTTGAGTCCCTGATAAGACACCATGAGGAGAGACTGTTTCAATGTCTCTGAAGATCCATGAGATCCAATGATTTGCTTATGTGGGAAAATTAGGATTTCAAATTACTAGTAGTCTTGGTTCTGGGTTGTGGCTAGCTTCTTTAGGCAGATGGAAAAGTCAACATATTGAGAATACTTGTAATTTGGAATATGAAGGATCAGCAGTCAAATTTGCATGGCACATTTGGATGCGCCATTAAAATGTCATTACCCACGGTAAAAACACTAACACAGTAGCAGCACAGGACACATTGGTTAAATGGGGAAACCCACAATATAAAGAGCATGGACACAGCTATTCCCATTTGTTACCTCCTGCACAGAGTCTGTCTGCCTTATTTGAGTAACATATTGGACTTTTTATAGTAAAGCTTCCTTTGGTTTCATTATAATAGTAATATATATTCATTGTATGAAATGTGAAAGCACAGAAAAAATGATCTGTAATTTTATTGATGTATTTCCTTCCAGTCTTTTTTCTCTGCATGGCTTTAAAGTGAATTGCAGTAATGCTGTAGATAAAATTTGGAACCAGGCTTTTTCATTTAACCGTATGCCAAAAAATTTCCCAAATAATATCTATTCTACATAGATATTATTTTAGATTGCTGTGTAACATTATTCCAAGTAAGTAGATATAATTTTATTAATCATTGCCAAACATCTACATGCTGTGTTAAATATCTTTGGTGTGTATATATTTATTTATGTTAAAAATAATTTCTTTAAGCTCTATTCTTAAGTGTGGACTTGAATTAGAGAGCATTAGAGTTGAAGACAAATGTTGTGATTTTTAAGGATTTTTTTTTAAGGCGTTGTAAAATTCCTTGTCTACCAACTGAAATACTTATTGAGTGTCTCTGATGTGCAAAACATTTTTGTGAGGCACAGGCACACAGATAGGAACACACTAAGTGTTTGGAAGGACAGAATCCCTTCTATTTACAAAATTTCAACTTATCAATGTTCACAGATATCAATAAGGCTGTGTGTGTCAGAGTTGAAATCCTTCACCTTGTGTCTGAAACCAACAGATAGTATTATTATTACTATTATTATTATTTTTAAATATGCTTTAAAAAATTCATTTCAGAGAGGAAGGGAGAAGGATAGAGAGAGAGAAAGAAACATCAGTGATGAGAGAGGAACATTATTGATTGGCTGCCTTCTGTGTGGCGCTCCCTCCCCCCTCTCCTCCCCCAGGGGATTGAGTCTGCAACCTGGGCATGTGCCCTGACCTGGAACTGAACAGTGATCTCTTGGTTTATAGCTCAATGCTCATTCACTGAGCCACACCAGCTGGGCCCAACAGATAGTATTGTTGACTATTTATATTATTGTGGACTTTAGAACAATAACATTCATAACTTGTTAGAGCACCATGTATATATCATTCTGATTTATATGAATTTTATGATCCAACTGTGACAAAGAAATAGCAGAATTAGGAAGGATACACACTTTATAATAAAAGTTTGGGGAAATTAGAAGTATTTGGAGAAAATCTGTAGGTAGCACAGTGGAAAGGAAGGAGAGGGCGCACACAAGAGCATGGCTAGAGTGGGAGTCAGGGAAGATATGAAGTTTTAAGTTTTTTGTTGTTTAATTTTGGAGCTATGGTTATAGGAATAGAATATATCAAAGGGAAAACACTAAGGGATTGGTGATCAATATTTGATTTTTTGGAGATGGTGGCTGGTTCACAGAAAGCAAAGTGGAGAGAGTAGAGAGATCAGTATTACTTGGTGGGAGGTGAGTTGAGGAATTAGGGTTGTGAATTCTTTTTTTTTTCTCGTTAGTATTCATCTGAGGATATTTTCTCCTTTACTTTTTGAGAGAATGGAAGGGAGGGGAGGAGGGAGAGAGAGAGAAACATCGATGTAGGAGAGACACATTGATTGCCTCCCCCGTGCTGACTGGGGCCAGGGATTGAACCCAAGACCCTCAGTGTGTGAGCTGACACTCTAACCACTGAGCGACACTGGCCAGGGCTGGTTGTGAATTCTTAAAGAATATATTCTGCCTGTATTAATTTTTTTTTTAAATTGTGGAGTTTTACTTTTCAGTGATACTTAGAGGTCATAGCTATGAAAGGGTGGGTGTTCTATTTTCTGTTTACTATGAATGTCTGCATGTTTCTATTTTTTTTTTTAATAGAAGAGATTCATATTTAAGAAGAGAAGTTGGCAGCCCAATCTTGCCTGAAGAGAAACCATGTGCTTTCTAATGAAGACTTACAAATAGTGTTTATTTATGGATCATTGGCTCATGGGAATGTTAGTCTAGAGACCCAAAAAGCAGTTTTGCGTGGATACTGGATTTTCAGTGACATGGTGCTGGGGAAGTGGAGCTCCTGAGTTTAGCCAATGGAAATCTAATGGAAAGTGACAGATAACTCAGAATACAGAGTTTAAAAAAGTGAACAGGACTATCAGCCGTTGCATCTGATTTTCACGTGCTTTAATTACTGTTTTTAACTACATATTGCTGCCTGGGACAGACATAGCCAGTAATCTGCTACCAACCGAATCACTAACTTCCAGGTTCTGAGGAGTGACTGAGTTCCTATGTACAGAAGTATAAATTTAGATCAAATTTATTTGGCACCCCTGCTCCCCCACCTCTTTTTCCTGCCTTTCATGGTCCTAACCAGTTAGTGATGCTTCAGGTCTCCCTTTCATGGGGAAATTGAGGCAGAAGGCAATGATTAGCGCAAAGCAAGGCCTTCAAGGAGTGGAACTTGAGCACTTTAGGCCCCACTTGATATTAGCACTTTTCCAAATGTGATCAGCATTTCCCGATCTAATTAATGGTCCGTGAAAGGGCATAAAGAGTTTGTACCAGGATGTGAGTCATCTATGCCCTAAGACTTTGTAGCAAGACTGTCTAGATGAGTGAAACAGTTATCAATTTACATTATAGTGCAAGCTCCGCATCTCATTGCAGATCTGTGCTTTGAGTAGCATTACTTCAATGACACCATATAGCATTTATCTCTTCTATTCTATTTGCATTATGAGATAGAGAATTGGGATGGAGGTGTAACGAGATAATAAGTGAATGGCCAGGTCTCAGTTGATGAGGCTTCTGGAGGTGGTATCAATGCAGAGTGACCCCGGTTAGCTCACTGAGAACCCACAGCATGACTGAGAGGCAGATTGCTGAGAGGGCCGCATGGATCTACCCTAGTGCTGGCTTTGGAATCGCTCTTTCAGTTTAGATGACTTGGACCAGACAGTATTCTTAGTGCTGGGGATCGATGGTAGGGAACCAAATAAAGCCCGGACCTCACGGCGTGTCCTGTCCAGTGTGTGTGTTTGTGGGTGGGGATGAAGGGGGGTTTCTCTGTGAGTCTCTAAAAGAGGTACCGGGCTCTTACTTACTTGATGGCTGGAGCTCGTAGGTCATGGGAAGTGGAGAATTAACTTGCTTTTTTGTTAGACTCAGTAGTTCCTCTCTTCCCAGTCTGGGACAACAAAGGACCAAATAATCTGTGACAGGCTTTGCTGATTGCCTTGACAATAGCTATGCATTCTGCTCTTCTTGTTAATGCACAGAATCTACTTTAGGCGAGGAAGGAAAATGCACACCGTTACACTTGTTGACCTGCATCTCGTGTCTCCTCTTCTCTCCCACGTTGCACCGTTACATTTATTTAGGACAGATTTCTAGCAATTTATGTAGATCTACCTCATTCTTTTCAACTTCATAGTGTCTGTAGCATAATTTATTTAGTCCATTCTGTGTTAATGGATATGTTTGTTGTTTTCAGTATTTTTCGTTTTTCATGTTGCTATGCTGTAATGAATATCTTTGTTGATATCTCTTAATGCACTTTTATGAGTGTATCATTAGGATAAACTCATGGAAGTAGAATTTCTGTGGCAAAAGGAATGTTCATTTTAAAATTTAATAAGTATTGACTGTAATTGGAAATGTCCAAGCTTAAATAGTATACATGATTAAACATTTGAGAGTTATTGCCATGC